GTCTCAGCTGATTGCCAGCGATGTCAGAGTTGTTACGTTTTCCTTGCTTAGCCTCAGCCAGTAAGCTGAAGGTTTTGCATCACCGGTGTAATGGACTTGAGCAAAGCGAGTCCAGCGACCAAGAGGCAAGTGTCAGGTCGCAGTGAGCGTGTGCTGGCTATCCAGGGGTTTTCCTGGCACCTCTGTTCCTCGCAATCGAGAAGGGCACGAGGGTAGGACACACGACTGTGGAAGTTTAAGGTGTGGTTTCTGGGCGGCAGCTGTAGGCAGAGATGCTGGATTGGGAGCTGTGTTTGTGTGTGTGGTAGAGCAAGGCATCGGGAGCTGCCGCGGAGCAGCAGCCTCTGGCAGAGGAAGGGGGGCAGCGGTGCCCATGGCCGCTCTCCCCTCTGCCAGCCCCTCAGCACGTTGGCTTCACCCTCCTGGCAGGGCAGGCCCCCCAGCACCAGGGTAAGGGGGTGATGAGGCTCCTTTTGTCCCCGCTCCTCAGCCACAGCGCGCTCTGCTGATGTGCCTGGTGGCTCTGCTTGGCTCCCGCAGGAAAGCCGTGTAGCAGGAACTTTAGGTGTCAAGCCTTGGAACTGCTCCATGTTTCTTACTTAGCCTTTTATTTCTTATAGAGTTAAAGGATCCAAAATGACAGGTGGGGACCCCCTTATTTGCTTTTCAGAGAGGAACAAATGAGGATGGGGTCTGTGAGGATTGACTTCGGGCCTTGGTATGGCACTGGTGCAGTTGTCAAAGGATATGAACCTCCAGGAGAGGTCTGAGTGCTAGGATATTGTCTTGAGATTTTCTCGTGAGACCCTAGGCAGTCTTCAGAGTCTGTCTTGAATCCAACCCTTTCATTAAATGCCAGTTTTAACAACGTAAGGGGTAATTTCAGAGTTTTCTGTGCATCAAAAAGAGATACATCTTGCCACAGTAGTAATAATAAAAATGTTTTCTAAGGGCCAGTGATTGTTCTGCAACCTTGAAAGGAGACTTCCTTTTTCTTCCCCTCCCACTTCAAAACCCTACATTTAGATAATGGATTTGATGAGTAACATTGATCAGAGTAGAGGAGTCTGTAGGAATATAATACAAACATAAAATATTAGTGAGTTAAAAAGATTTGATTAGAAAATAGAAAATACTTTAAAAAAATATTGCTCACTAATGTCATACTTGGTGACCAAAGCTGAGTCTCTTTCTGCAGACTCATGGTTTATAATGGCATAAATTGTGGTTAATCTAGGTTTGTTTTTTGTGTTCTCCCCCGTATTGTTGGAATATTCTGTTGTTTAAATACCTTCAAAATCTGGGAAATTTGATATATATACCATTAATCAAAACCGTAGGCAAGCATCTTAAAATCTACTGGCAGGCATCTTATCTCCTAGAACACAAAGAAATTCTGCTGGGACTTTATTTTGTCATTTTTCAGATATTAAATCTTACCCTGTAATGTTTGTTTTTCTTCAAGTGAAATGCTTCCATCTATCACATTCATAAAAATGAAGAGCTTAAAAATTTATAAATTGGAACCCTATATATGTTGTTGCTAGGAAAAATATAAAAATAGCTCCTTGTGTTAGTGTGACTGTGTTGCAAATTCAAAGCAAAGCGATTGTTCCGCACTTGCTGCTCTATTTTGAAGTTGTGCTGATCTCTCTACTAGGCAAAATCTTGCTTAGCAAATATTTGCATGCAGCTTTCCTGAGGGAGGGTGTTTCCCTACTCACATGGATGCTGTATTCCCACTGCTGGATGTACAACTGTGTATTGGGCTCTATGGGTGAGAGCTGCCGTTTACGTTTGGGGGCAGCAAGTTGGGCAGTTTTGCTGCACAGCTCCCAGAATAGCTGTTAGTGCATCTCCCTTCTCTGGAGATCTTCCCAACCCGCCTGGGTGCCGCCCTGTGCCCCGTGCTCTGGGTGTCCCTGCTGGAGCAGGGGCTTGGACTGGATGATCTCCAGAGGTCCCTTCCAACCTGAACCACTCTGTGATTCCTGGCCGGAGAGGGACCCGGAACGGGGTCGCATAGACCCATCCCTCCAAGCAGCGGCCAGCAAAGCTGTCTGCAGAAGGCAACCAAGAAGCTCTAGTGTCCTAATTCAGTGCAGAAATAGGATGGTAGGGCTGGGGTGGAAGCACAGGCAGAATCGTGGCTGCAATTTGCGTGCCGAGGGAATATTTCCTCTTGGCCATGTATTGCCACTGGGTCTCCTTCATTGTACTCATTGGGGTGAAGAGGAGTTCTGCTTAAACCTGTATGGAGAAGATGTGAACAGTTTTCGGCTCCCCTAGTAAGAGACAGCTTACCCTGAGAAAGTCAGGGCCAAGAAAGGCCCCGATATCGGCTGGAACTGCTTTTACAGGGTATAGAGACAGGATTTGTCCCAGTGCTCCGGGGTTGTTGGATAGTATCTGTATCTTGCAAGGGTTGAGAAGTTTAAGGTTAGAATTACAATATTTTAAGGGTAAAGCTTAAGTGGTTCCCCTCCCCCCCCCCCSYSCC